CAATGTACCAGTAAAAGAATTTAATAAAAATAAAATAAAATAAAATAAAAATAGAAGTAGATGCTGCAGTAAACTATTAGCTCAGTATTTCCAGAAGCATGTTTCATGAGAGTTAAATAAGGATCAGTGATGAATGCATCCATGCTTGAACAAATTTTGAATCTGCAAGATCAAACTAAAGCATATTTCTTTCTCAAATATTGCTCAGTCATTAATTTGTGACTATGGACTTTGACTCTTACAGTGTGGGAGGAACAACTCTAGTATAGTAGCATGCTATATTTATCACTTATATTCCACTTATATTTGAGCATGGAGTATTTTTATTCCACACATCTTATTTTTAGAACTCACTTTGGAAAGCACTGAATTAAGGAAAGCTGATAAAAATTTGAAGGGTCTGGGATAATGATTCTTATCAAAAGAAAAACAAGATTCTTGGGAGACCAGATCAGATTATCCTTATGAATCATAATCAGGTAGATGCTAACGTGAAGATAAATTAGTTTGGAACAGGCAAAATAACCAGGCAGATCTCATGGGAACTTTCTGGAAAGTCAAAAATGGCAACTGTAAGTTAGAGCAGTTGATATGGAGGCAAGAGAAAGACCTAGGGTGTTTAGACATGGATGATTTCATTTTTGTGTGACTCTGGAGTTGGTGTACAAAATGAAAGCCCCTGATTCCATACATAATATGCTAGCAAGGCTTTTTAGCATGGCAGTTTTATTTTCACAGAAATGTAACAAACATGAAACTAGGAATCATGGGAACTAGACTGTTAGTCCAGGAGTCTACCACAGCCAATTTGCACCACTCAGCCCAAGTCAATTGCATGCATCTTTTCCTAATTCCACCCTGAAGAAGTCAGGTTGGTAACCATGTGGAATTGTTTATACTGCAGAAACTAGCACATGTCACAAAGCAGAACTTTCTCCACCACCACCCTCCACCCAAACACAGAACTACTTGTTAAATATTTGTCCACACCTCTGGCCATGACTCAGGTTTGTGCCATTTAGCTCACCTGGCCTTATCTGTAAAATTAAATGAGGCACACTGATAATTTCCATCCCTTTAGAGTATGAAGACTATCAATGAAAGGGAGTAATGATACATGCGTAATAAAGTTTGTATTTCAGGAGTAGCACTTTTTGAAAAAAAAATACAGGCAAGCAGTCATTATAAATTTGATACTTTTTAAACACATTTATATCTTGTGAATCATGAAACATCAATAGGTTTGACCAATATTAGGTAGTAGGAAGGCAAGTGATACAGTATTTATTTGATAAGAAAAAAGGAAACGTTTAGAATAACTAAAATAATTCTGCATCTCACAGCCCACAATTTGGAAACTAAAAGACATCTTAGTGATTCCAGAAAATAGAATCACTGGGGAGGTTGTTGAAATTCAGCTTCCCAATCTCTATCCCTGAACAACCTAATATAAACCTGAAAAACACTAATTAAGCCAAGCTTCTTAACTAGTCATCTTCATTTATTTCATTCACTTGTTTCTACTTCAGCAAGCAGTCCTCTGTAATCTTAATATATTTGTTAGAAAAATATTCCTTCTAATTAGCGTGACCGATCATTTATATCATGTACTATGAGACTGAAAGAAGGTGTAACCAGGTAATTACCAAACTATAGTGGACCCTCAAGTTACGACCAGCCTGACATAGAACAACTTAGGTTAATTAGGTGAATGGAAGATTCATCTGTTATCTATAGCGCGTACCCAGGTAAACATCCAGATCTCAGCTGTATTGACTTAGCTACAACCACCCCTCAGGAACCGCTTGAGTTTGTAAGTCAAGGGTCCACTGTACCTTGAAAGTTAAAAACTGAGAGTCTCAAACAAACTGCTATTTATGGTGTTAGCTTCCCATTATTGTGACAAAAGACCTGATATTATCAACTGATAATGAGGAAAGATTTACTTTGGCTCACGGTTTCAAAGGTTTCAATCTGTAGTCAGTTGTCCTGTAGCTTTCAGGTCTGTGTTGAGGCAGCAAATACATTACCATGCAAGTGCATCGCATAAAGAACTGCACACCTCCTGACAGCCAGGAAGCAAAGAGAAAAACAAGAAAGGGCTGCCAGAGTCCCAATATACCTGTCAAGGACACGCCCACAGTGACCTAACTTCCTCCAACTCACCCACTTAAAGCTTCCACCACTCCTAAGAGCACCACAGGCTGGGGTCCAAACCTTTTACACATGAGCCTTTGGGTGGAACTTCAGATCCAAACTATGTATAGCATACAGCGGGTGCAGTGATGGCAAACCTTTTAGAGACGTGTGCCCAAACTGCAACACAACGCTCATTTATCACAAAGTGCCAACCCTGCAGTTAAAGCGGAATACTGAGGTTTTAGTTTAGAAAAAAACCAATTCATATGTTAACATCTTTTATCTTAAAAGAAAAACAACATGTGTGCCACAGGCTCACCACCACTGACATATGGTGACTTTATTTGTGGCAAATTCATCAAACCTATTCCCAGGAACCCTCATCCATATATCCTCATTTCCTTCTAAAGCCAAAGCCATCAATCTAATGTCATTTGATGTATCCTTGTAAATTAGATGAAAGCTATTTTGACATCCTTCCTGCTTCTTTAACAGTTTCTTACCCAGAATCATAATTTGTAAAACGGAGTCAAATGTGGTTGATGGCCCTAGACTGCAACTGCTCTCTTCCACGTCAGGAACCTTCAGCAGCATTTTAGGAATTGATAGTTTGAAAACCCTGCCAACCAGATGAGCTGCACTAGATGACTTTTTCAACACAAAATAAAGTATCAAAATTCTTAGATGACTCTATGCTTTAGATGCAGGAATAATATGACAAGGAGATGAACAATATTCAATAGGCTTGCAATTACTATTGTTAGTTTTTTCTCTTTAAAATACACTAAATGCACATAAAAATTCTAAATTGTAAAACATCAAAAAATGCCAAGTAACTTCCAAGAAATTAAAGAGAATGTTAACACTGTATTTGAAACTGCCTGGTTTTTTTTATTTCACATCCCCTTTCTTCCAACCTCCTTCCCCAAAAGTAATCACTATCTAGATTTATTGTGTATCATTCACAACACTGAACAGGACACCTTTAGGCAAGACCAAGAAACTGAGGACTAAGACCCCACTAACAATGAAAATAACAGCCTTCTGTCTTGTATGATCCACAATTGGTTGGCAAGTCCTTGAGTCTATTTTCCTAGAATTGTTTAAATTAATACATAAAGACTCCAGACTTGGCGGTTCCCTCACTGATTTGATGTGGCTAATACAGTGAACACTTGACTTATGAACTCCATTGGTTCCCGAGGGAGGGTTGTAACTCAAGTTGGTTGCCAGTCAATACAGCTGAGATCTGGATGTTTACCTGGGTACACACTATAGATAACAAGAGGCAGATGAATCTTCCATTAACCTAATTAACCTAAGTTGTGCGTATGTCAGGGCAGTCATAACTTGAGGGTTCACTGTATAGAAATGCCAGTCTTATATAGTTGTGTGTGATGTTTAGGGTTCAGACTGAAAGAGGGCACAGAAGGCCTTTACAAAACACTGTCATAGTGTTTTATGTCCAGAGATTGACCATGGCAGTGTTTTCAAAGGATAAATGAGAAAGCTAACTGAAAGCAGGCATTAACAAGGAACTGTATTGGATGGGGGAGGCATTTGTAGTCTGGTCCCTTCAGCCAGTAAGTCAGAATGTATTTTTTGAGATTCTGTGTTTTGTCTTCCAAACCTCTTACCTACCTGTTACTTAAACTTCACTTGGGAAGACAAATGTGAAGAATAATTATTTTATGAACAAGGTGGTATGCTATTGAACATCATTTTATCTGCATTCTAAATTGCGCACCACAGGCAACTGGATAATATCATATTGCCATGTAACAAGACTAACCATGAGGTATAGCTCTAATAAGTATAAGGTATTTGAAAAGAGCAGAATCTGTTTGGCTGGAATCAGAGAAGTCTTCGGAGCAGCCTAAATGTACTCTCTCTTCAAGATTGGGGTATGAGGAAATGGAAAGTAAATACATTTTATATTAATAGGGAAACAAGGAGCATTCATTGATTGCCAGGCACTTTGCTAAGCACTTTATATTATTTCTCAAAATCTTCCAACAGCCCTTGGAAGTTTTATTAGACTCACTTTACACAGGAGGAAACTGAAACTCCAAGACATTAATTTTCTTGTTCAAGGCCACACAACTGTATTGTAGCATTCAGGATTCAAACCCATGATGTTTGAGTGAACAGCCAGCAGGATGCTAGACTCCCTAGGTAGAGGAGCACCACAATAGGAAATGCAGACATGGGAAGAATACAGTTAGCAAGGATTGGCCATTCAGAATGACTAACAGGGTATGTTTGGTCAAGTTATTTCTCTGCTGAAAACCTCAAGTATCTGCTCAATCTCCTGTCCTTTGTACACACAGACGCTCATGATTGCTTGTTAAGTTTAATTGGTAACATAAGGGAAGGGGTTGGCATGAGAAGTAATAATATAATTGGGGCACTTTGCCTATTATATCTTTCAGTTTGGCTATTATTTTGAAGTTTAACAGGGCATGAAGAGGTTTACAAGAAAAAATATTTTAAGTACTTCAATACAAGATGGGAAAATAAAGGATAATGCATGAATGAATGTATGAGTAGACTTTCAAGAGGTTTGAAGTCATCTTTTATTCATTCATTCATTTCCTAATTGGCCACTTTTATTAGTTCCCACGCTTGGGCACTGGGGATGTGAACCCTCCACAAGGACAAAACCAAAAGACACAGGCTTCCACTCTGCTTTATAACAAAATATATTTCAGATGGACACCAGCAACATGCATTTATCAAGCCCACACTGTGTGCTGGAACCCCTAAAAGATGATAGATAGGTATTCCTGTCCTCAAGGTCCTCCAAGAGCAGATACACCCCTGAATAAATCATTACAAGACAATGCAATGAGTTATAAACTAAAGGAGAGTTATAAACTAAAACAAATACCTGTACCAAAAGAGGATATAAAATCCCGATCCATTCTATATCTACTGAGTTCACTCAAAATAGGTGTAATAGTTTTCTATTTTAGTTAATTAAAAAGTTCATCTCCATGTACACCAAGAACCAGATCAGATGACCTTCTGAAGAAATATAAGGTTCTAAGATTCTGATTCTGCACTCCCTTAGCAATTGAGAAATCAGGGTATCTTTCTCCACAGCCAAGAAGAAAATAATGCAAGAGTTACAGAAAACCAAGTATAGTACTTAGCTTTGCAGAGCAGACCAGGTAATGCTTACTAAAGGTGAACATTTTTGATGCACCACCAAAAAATAAATCATTCATTTATTCATAAGTAGGATAAAGTCCTAACTTCAAATGTTGACCAAAACTCAGTGTTCATATTAGAGAAGTATTACCACAGCAAGGACAATTTTTCCACTAAAATTTTGAAAAGAAGAATATGATCTCTGAATTTCACTTGCTGAAATTATGCCTATTGCTTACTTTTTCTGAGCCTAAATGTTTTCAATTATAAAATATAGGAGTTGGGCTAAAGTCTCCATCTTTAGCCTTTCAATTTAGCAATGCTAAAGACATACTGGTTTAGAATTCTAAACATAGAAATTTAGAATTATAATCTAGAAATGGCAAATATTTGGGCCTTGAAAAACACCTTCAGTGGACTGATATTTATGACCTCTCTGGAAAATGAAGAAAAGCACTAAGTCCCAAAGTAAGCTTGGATGAAAAGAGCCAGAAACTTTACCAATGTCTGCATGGAGAAACTGAAAGCCAGAGCACACATAAGCCATGTATGTTTTCCTTGAATCCTCACATTTTTTAAACCAGAAAACATGGGTCCAGAGTGTGATGATGCAAAGTAAATAAGTAGGTAACACAAATTGTAAATTGAATTTGTATTATCACTCACTTGTGTTCTTTTTTTAACTGACAATTATTGTATCATCTTGCTTCTTCTTTCCAAAAGAAATTGAAATAACTTAAAATTGAATATAATGCAGTGAGCTCAATGAATTAAAAAATGAGAAAAAAAGAAATCTATTACTCAATGTTGTCCACACTGGACATACAATATCATCCATATTCACTTTATCCAAAGCATACTGAACTCAAATAGCAGTTCAGATTATATTGTTATTACCATTCTTCTCAATTATTCCCCAAAGTGATTCATTGTCTTCCCTCAGCTCCTCTTCTAAGCTTGTATTCTAATTGTACTATAGTTCCTCTTGCACAGCATGTAGGCACCCTTTAGAGAGTATGTGACCAGTGCGAATGTCATCCACCCTATGTAGAAACTGCTCTATCTTCTGCCCCTAAAAGCTATGTGACTTCATGCTTCTGGCAGTAATTCATAAGACTAACATTTTATGGGGCAAGAAGATTCTCTTTTCTCCCCTTCAAGTACAGATTCTGGGAGTAGCCATATTCTACTACATGGACAGAAAGGCAGAGAAAGTGAGTCTGCAGAGAGAAAGAATGAACCAGAGGTGGAAGGAGAATTCCCCAGGTTTCTGAGTAGTTTTTAGCCCTGACTGTTATTTCTTACTAAGACCTGGATGTATGTCTTCCTATAAGTTCCCTAAAACACTCTGAATCCTCACCATTATTTCCCCCTTTCTTTTAAACTTACAGTTTTGGAGTTACAACAGTTCTTAATTAATCTGCATCTCTTTTTGTGTCTCTGCCTCAAGTCTATGCATCTGAGGTAACTTCCTCCAGAAAACCTTTTACAGTCCCATGCACCCTAACCAAAGTACCAGCAACTTCATCCTAGGAACCCCTAAAATACTGCATTATAAATTTCTTAAGAAAAATCACCCTTAGATCCTCTATTATGACTACACTTCCTGTTTTCTATTATATTTCTAATCTTCTTGTGAGGAAGGATGAATGCCTTATTCATTATTGTAATCTCTACATACCAACCACAGTAGAAATGGGCAGCTGTCGACCTTTATTTGTTAAAAGAATGGATGAACAAATGAACATCTTTTATTTATTCTCTACTATTGTGCAAATCCCTAAACCTCTGTCCTTCAGGCTGGTATTATAAAAGTGGAGATTTGATCAGTCA